GATTTAACATAGGTAACAATAACATTAGTATTCTTGTTAACTAGCTTAACTTGATACATTGGCATCTATTAATTAGTCATCATTTAGCGAACATTATCTACATGCAACAGCATTACTCAACTTACACAGTTTGTTTGGAAGAAACTGTTAAAGGTTTTTTGCTTCTTGCTGGTTGGTTTACTGAACATAGTTAACACACAGCAGCACTGCCCAGCAGCACACGTCTCGTCTATGCGATTGATTCAGATCACAACACAACAGCAGGTGTATGCTGCCTGGCGCCGCTTACTCATGGTGCGTTTAAAGACGGCTCGAAAAATATGTTACCACATGTTAAAAACAAATTTAATGGTTGTAACGGCTATTAAAAGTGCGGGGGACAGAGGGCACAGATACGGTGCGGGGGACATGTCCCACGCGTACCCCGCGGCCACTATGCCCATGCTCATAATAGTACAATTACTATTAAGATCTGCCCTCCTGAGACTGACAACCTATCAGAAATGACAAATGACAACCTGTGACTGTGTTATTATTTCAAGAGGATGGACAGAATTGACCAATGGGCATCTCACCTCCAAACAGGGAGCCCTTCCATGTACGGCCAGCAATGAGCTGAATGGGTCGGGTAGCTACGTCATACATGTCTGTCCAGCCAACCAGCACGCTGACACCCCAACCTTTCACACAAGACTCCAAGGCACTGCGCTAGATGGAGAAACAGCACAAAGTCAGTAGGCTTGGAACCAGAGGAGTTTGAAATCTGCAGAGCAGCTGAGAAAAATGTGTGCTTTAACATTTAGATAACACTTGGGAAAGATTTTTTAATATAATGAGCCGTCTTGAGCCAATTAACATCAAATCTTTATGCAAACCTCTCTGTCTGCCTCACCATTACTCCCACATTCCCAACACATTCCAGGGAGTAGTCCACTCCTCCATTAGTCATCTCACACAACACAGCACTGATGGGTTTACTGTGATCCTTGGGGTTCACAAAGTCGGTTGCGCCGAGCACCTTGGCCTTCTCATACTTCTCTGGATTGATGTCAACAGCGATGATCCTCTTGGCTCCTGCAGCCTTGCAGCCCATGACTGCAGCCAAACCCACAGCTCCCAGGCCGAACACAGCACATGTTGAGCCCGGTTCCACCTAAAGTAAAACAGACTTTGGTCAACATGGCTCTTTAGGTTGGACTTATAATTCTTAAAACACTAGTTCTTCCTGAACACTGTGGTGTCAGAGACAGTATGTTTCATTTCTGATGTCAGATGTTTAATAGAGTGCTGTATGTGGAATTCGTTACTGTAGGTATTAGCCTTCAACAGTACATGTTGGACTATCCCCAACAGTCAAACAAACACCTTAGCTGTGTTAACTGCTGCTCCATATCCTGTGCAGATCCCACAGCCGAGCAGACAGACTTTGTCCAGAGGAGCAGCGGGGTCGATCTTAGCCACAGAAATCTGGTCTATCACAGTGTACTCAGAGAAGGTACTGGTTCCCATAAACTGCAGCACCTTCTTCCCCTTACAAGTAAACCTGGAGTCTACGGCTGCCATCACATCAACGCGATCAGAAGCCCTGAGCAGAGAATTTTGTAAAATTAAAATACAACTTAAAATACAACAAGAGATGAGAAGACAAAGATAAGCTCACCATCCTTTCTCACACTGGTTGGTTTTGGGACTCTTACAGAAGCGGCATTCTCCACACTGGGATATGAACAGAGGAATCACCTTGTCTCCTGAAATTCAGAAACAATGTTGCCATGTCAAAGGAATTAAGGGCACACTTTCAAGACCTAAAATCAAATGTCCCAACAAACAGGTTTGTTGGGCTGGATAGCACAAATAGGCCTTGGTCTACCCATTGCTAGCATCGCTGCCATAAAGTCTGACAGGGAAAAAAAAACAAGCTGTTAAACAAATTAAACTGTTGGTTGTAAGCCTTCACTGACCTGGTCGAAATTCAGTGACTCCAGGCCCAACGCTCTCTACAATGCCGGCTCCCTCGTGGCCAAGGACTGCTGGGAAGCCGTCTTTATGCATACCCTCAAACAGATGGTACAGGTCTGTGTGGCACACCCCAGTTGCAACAACCTGCACAGAGGACGACCACACTAAGAAAACACTGATGCTTGTTTCTTTTGAACAGTTGGGTATTGTGCTTTCTTTACAGCTGTATTCACAACTCAAATCATAGCAAAACAACTATAACTGCTGTAGACACTCAGGCCTGTCACCCATTTCTCCAAATGCCCAAGTGCATGTCTGGCTTACTTAACTAAAGTAGAAGCAAGCTACTACACCATCATCCGGACAAAGGCAAGCTAGCTAATGTTATGCTAATTGAATGCTGACAAAACGTCAGTGAATCATGCACAATTAATCAACCATTCAGAGGTTTGACATTAACCATGGCCTGTGGTCTGTGGCCATAAAAACTAGTGATGGCCTCATGAAGCCTCATGAATCATTTTCTTTATTTTCTGAGCCCACTAGATGGCGCTTTTTCTTCAACAAAAGGTTTAAAACACACT